TGTTGAATGAGTCAATTTCTAGGGCGAATGATCCCGTTAGCAGCGCCTATTTTGCTGCCTCCGCCACGGCTCAGATGCGCTCGACCGCGTTGATCTGGACAGAATTTCGCACACGCGACGCCAACACACCTTAGGGAGCATTCATACTTCGCGACGTGAGAGTATAGGTGAGTAAGAGAATGCGCTTTAAACGAAGGTGTAAGTACCGATCTGGTGCATTCGGAGAAGCGTAGAGCAGGAGGTTGGGGAAACGGGTGCTCAAAAGGTAAATGGGAATCGATCGGCTCCCGTCGCTAGCGAGCTGGGATTAATGGATAAGGAAAGGCGAGAATACGCGCGAAGGAAGTGTAGGTATCAATACGGTTAATGGAGAAAAGCGTCGAATAGGAGAACAGGAGAATGCACGCCTGCGGAGTGGATGTGAACCGGTCTATTTCATTTTCCCAACCCGCCAGGTTGATACTTACACCTTTTAACGCAATTTCTTACACCCCCGAGTAGCAAAATATGAGCACGGTCTCATTTGGATCTCCTTAACCACATCCTGAAGCTGAAGTCAGGAAATAATGGTAATAAGAGGAATATCCTCGAGCGGGAACAGGGTTCATCATTAGCTGGGAATTTCGGTCGAACCCACGACCCCTCCCCCTTCCTAGTTCCCTCCTCTAATACGATCGAGCTATCGCTATCTATTCCTATCGCCAACCCCTAAAAAAGTGGGGGGGGGGGTCAAATTCGACGAATCCTCAACTATAATGTCGCCGCTGGGTGGGGGGGGGAAAATCAACGCGGGAGAATTGTTGTCCAGCACCTCAAAAGAAGGCAGAACACTGCCACCCCACCCCTCCCATCCTACCTCCACTTCTCCCCAACTGCAACCAAATGCGGCCCCCTCTCCCTCCACCTTATAGCGCCCGTGAAACAAGAAAAATCAGCTATTAAAAATATTTCTCGGACCAAGACGACCCCCCCCCTGCTGCGGAATCCCCAATGCTAATGCGCCCTGAGCGAAAACATTCGTAACCCATTGTTATTGTTTTTATATACGAGAATCAGATTCACGATAGACCTGAAAACAAGCTGCACTTTCGTTTTCGTGAATCCTGGTCCAAGCCATGTACAAAGTGAGTAGGTCTGCAGCTGAGGTAGCGTGTCACTTTCTTCGGTTAGAAGAGCATGGGAACAGGAATAGAGGGTAGTAATACCTGAGTGCCGTTTCCATACTCTACCCGCGCTGCTGCACGGCCAGCCACACTCCTAACCATAGCCAAACACACTACTTGTCCGAGTCCTCTCTTTTCTGCTTGTTTTCTACCGTTGAGTACTGAGCTGCGGGATCTTGGTTTAGATGCATGTGCTACACATTGAGGATAGCACGAGCTTGGGACGGGCAACTGGTGATCCCACACACCACCCTTGCCGACCGCTTTGGAGCGGACAAAGTGGCGCTTACTGCAGCTGCGAACCCACTCACCCTTCCGCATATAAAGGACCCTCCTCGGAGAATGTATAGTTTTCCGTTGAGGATACGCTGTACGCTCACATTCAATCCCGATTCTTGCCATGTGAGAAGTGAACGGGTTCGAAGCAAAGAAGTGTGTCACTTTCGTTACTCGGAAGTGCGCCAAAATGAGGCTGATGCTAGCCGAACGCCGTTTCGGACTCCACCCAGGGGCAAGTCAGCAGACGAAACGTGGCGCACTACCACACATACGCTTACCTAGAGGCAGACGCACTACTTGTTTGCTCCATGACACGCTTAATTATTTTCTACACTTGGCTGCAATAGGGAACGTGTCGTTCATGTCGTTCGCTGAAGAAGCTTCCTCGACGCGCATGCCGCACATTGCGGATGACGGACGGGGTCAAAATGGCATCCAGCCATTTTTAACTCCACCTGCTAATGCCAACGTGCGGCGTATGCGTCGGTGCTGATGACCTCGGACATATTCACTCCGCATACGGGGGAATCCATCTTGCAGCTGGGCGTACAGTATTTTGAACTGCACAATGTAGTGTAATCACTAACTCAACGATTGCTAATTAGGTCTAAACACGACTCTCACCTGAATACAAAAGGAAATCACGACACTGAGTCCGATCCATGAATGCAGGGAGATCAGATTCGGTAACGGATCGAGTTGTCCTAAACCAACCAATACTTTTTTAATAGCACTTCTTGTCAACCTCTGCTGTCGAAATAGGTTTCACTGCTCAGCCAGTCAGTGGTTAGTCTCCTGTGCTCTTGTCGCCTTTACAGCTCCGTGTTAACTCCGTACTCCAGACGAGCGACCGGGACGACCAATAGCGCCGTTGCCGGCCTGCACGTACCATCGTAGTACGGTACTACTGCTGTGTGCACCGCAAACGCTCTCTACACTTATCGTTGGGCAGCAGCAATCTTTGAAAAAAGAATCTTGAGTGTGATTGTATTAGCCGTTGAAGATGTCCTCATGGTGTAGCATAGTGAATCTCAGTTATATCCCCGAATCGCGCTATAAAATCGGTCAAGCCGTGAAGTATAGCACTGCAATAGACATTGTGCCATCTGAAAAATATCAGAGGAAAAAATGAAAAAAAAGGAAATTTTATGTCTCGGAGGTGGTTATTACGTAAGGAACTCATTTCAGGTGTTCCTGTTAGGAGAATCAATGCTGGTATATCGTGTGTTCCGTAATGAGCGTAAAAAGTTCAGTAAAACCCTGCATGTCTGTCTACATTCAATGGTGTTGGTGTTCATGATCATAGCCCTCAAAGCTGTATGGGATTCACACGATCTTCATAGAGATGCGTTAGGTATTGTTATGGTTATTTCAACTATTTGTTCACTTTTCCTGCGAAACGTCAGCATTATTTTCCTACGAAGTTCTTTGCAATGAA